CCAAGACGGCCGAAGATGGCCTCAAGACGGCCAAGGGTGTCTCCAAGAGGGCCCACAAGGGCCACAAAAGGAATTCAGACATGTCCCGAAGAAGCTAAACGCAGTCATTCCCCATTATTTGTCCAAATGGATTTCGCATTCGCGCCTTTTCGGCCTGCTGCTCTCAGCTTAGGACGGCCTAGGGAGCCCCCACGAAGGCCCCAAGAGGATCCAACGATTGCCCAAGAGGACCCCGCGATGGCCTAAGAGGCATCCAAGAGGGCCCCAAGAAGGCCCAGGAGGGACTCCAGCGGTACCCAAGACGGCCGTGGAAAGCCCGCCGACGGCCCAAGACGGGCGCCAAGACGGCATCACAGCGGCCTCCAGACACCCACCATACGGCCAAGAGGGCCCAACCACGGCCCGAGAGAGCCCCACAACGGCGTGAGAGGGCCCCAAGACGGCCCAAGAGGACCCCAAGGGACCCCGAAGGCTGCATTACAGGAGACCAAGACAGCCCCCAGACTGCCCAAACGAGACTCACCAGAGCTCCTCAAAGGTCAAAGGTGAAGATGGAAGGTGTCACATGTGACGCCCCTCGTCTTCCTCCTCGTCATGGTCCGCTCCTCCTCTTCCTCGTTCTGGACTCCTCCTCCTCCTCCTCCTCCTCCTCATCATCATCATCATCATCATCACCATCACCATCACCATCATCACCAGCATAATCAGCATCGTCCCCATCACATCATCAGCATCATGATGATCGTCATCAGCAACAGCATCATCATCACCACTACCAGCATCCGCCTCATCACCATCATCAGCATCGTCATCAGCATCAACATCAGCGTCAACACCAGCATCATCACCATCACCACCACCAACATCATCATCAAGACCATCAGCATGATCGTCACCATCATCATCACCGTCACCATCACCATCAGCATCACCACCACAACCATCACCATCACCACCACCATCACCAGCACCACCACCACCATCATCATCATCAGCATCAGCATCATCATCAGCATCATCATCAGCATCATCAGCTTTATCATAATCCTAATCATCCTCATCCTTATCATCCTCCTCATCCACCTCCTTCTTTCTCCTCCTCATCATCAGAATCATCAGCATCACCATAACCATCATCATCATCATCATCAGCATCATCAGCATCATCATCATCATCATCATCAGCATCAGCATCAGCATCAGCATCAGCATCATCATCATCATCATCATCATCATCATCATCATCATCATCATCATCATCATCATCATCATCATAACCACCATCATCATCAGCAGCATCAGCATCAGCATCATAATCGTCATAGCGGGTCACCCAAACCTGGAAACACAAGGTGTCATACGTGAAGATCTCCCGCACACCATGGAGCCGCCGCCCGTACCCCGAAGCTATAGGCCTGGCACGGTGGCGGGGCTTGCCGCAGGCAGCTCGACACACCTCCACCGTGCCTGGCCAAGGCCATCCACGGCTCCAAGTAGCGGGTCCGCCCTCCTGGATTGGCCAGGAGGGTCCAATGCATCATCGTAGGGCGCAGGGCGGCTCTTGCCAGACACGGTGGTGGTGTATGGAAAAGAGCAACAAGCATAAACTCCAATGTTCGAGGTCCGCGCGAATGTATGGGATCGGCGCTAGACCCCGCTCCCTGGTGCGCAGATCCGCTCCAGGAAACCCGCGAGGACCTGTTGTCTGTGCAGAATGGCGTCCTCCTCGTGTGCAGGTGCCTTCCGCGGATCGGATGCCCACGCCACCCCCCACCCGCCTGGCTAGGAGCTAGGAGGCACATGCGAACTTGAACCCTTCTCTACAGGCCAGATTTCTGAAACATCGGCTGGGGCTCAGACTTTGAAAGATGTCGGTAGCCAAGTGAAGACCCACGGGGGTGTCCGATACCCAAGCGTCGATCGGATCCGCGTAGGCCAGGGTGGGCAGGTGATCAACTCTATCCCTGTTCCTCCTCCTCCTCCTCCTCCTCTTGCTTTCTCCTCCTCCTCCTCCTCTTGCTTTCTCCTCCTCACCTTCTGCATCTGTCTACGGCTGCGACAGTCGGGCTTAAGTTAGGAGGAGGAGGAGAAGGAGGAGGAGGAGGAGGAGGAGGAGGAGGCGGAGGAGGAGGAAGGTAGGAGGGGGGGAAGAGGAGGAGGAGGAGGAGGAGGAGGTGGAGGAGGAGGAGGAGGACACGGGGAGGTGGAGAAGGGGGGAGGAGAAGGGGGGAGGAACGGAGGCAGGAGATGAAAGATCACAGACCGGCGCCATCCCTCTCCGCTCCTCGTGCCAGCCGCTCTTGCGCGGCACGGGCAGCTGCCGCCGGGCGCGCTGGCCGCGCTTGCTCGGACGGGGCCCGGGCATCCAGTTAATTAGCCCAAGGGTCCGCTTGTCGAGGGTAGGGAGAGGAGGAGGAGGAGGCGCAGTAGGGGGAGGATGAGGATCGAGGTTAGAGGGTCTCCAACAAATCCAGCCAGCCCTTTGGGCAAAGGAGGTCAAACGAGACCTTTCTTTCCTCTTCCAAAGCCCACTTTCCTTCGGGAAGGGGTACCCTCCCACTCCCCTCCCTGTTTTTGTTGGAGGGTGGTCGCGAGGGGTTGGAGCGTCTAAGATGGCTCCGAGATGGCTCCAATAGGGCCCCCGGTGATCGAGCATGGTCGTCAAGATGGCTCAAGATAGCCAGCGATGGTTCAACATAGCATCCGACAAGGGCCACAAAACGGTTCCAAGTGCTCTCGGAGCCCCCTCAGGCCCCCTCCCAGGAGGACAAAATCAGTCAAACACCAAAGGGCAATGACTGATTTGTGCCTTCTCGCCTTTTCGCTTCCGATGCGCTTGGAGGCCTCAAGATGTCCCCGAGATGGCCCAAGATAGCCCCAAGAGGGGCCCAAGAGGCCCCAAAAACAGCGCCAAGAACGCTTAAGATCGGGCCAAGAGCGCCCCAAGAGGCGACTTTGATGGCCTCAGGGGGTGACGAACATCGGGGACCTCTCCCCCTTTGATCGATCGCCTCCAGGATGGCCCCAAGAGGCCCTCCAGGAGCCCACAAGAGCGCCCCAAGAGGGCCCCAAGATCCCCCAAAAAGGGCCTCAACAGGACACCGAGATCCCCCCCCAAACAGTCCCAAGAGGGCTCCAAGAGGCGATTTTGCGGGCTCTGTCCTCGACCTCGTTGTCGTCGTCGTCGTCCTCCTCCTCCTCCTCCTCCTCCTCGTCCCTGCCCTCATCGTCTTCCTTTTCCTTTTGCTCCTCTTTCTCGTCGTCGCGGTCGTGGTCGTGGTCGTGGCCGTTGTCGTGGTCGTGGTCGTGGTCGTGGACGTGGTCGTGGTCGTCGTCGTCGTCGCCATCGTCGCCATCGTCGTCGTCGTCGTCGTCGTGGTCGTCGTCGTCGCCTTCCTCTTGCTCCTCCTCATCATCCTTCTCCTCCTCGTCCTCCTCCTCCTCCCTCCTTCTCCCCCACGCGGGCCGCAGGAATGGCCAGACGAGGACCTCCAAGGCCACCACCTTGCTTCCGAAGATCATTCTGTTCACCCTGATTGCCCGCTTTGTTTCGCTATATGTGTCGGTTCGTCTCTTTCCCCGTCAGCTCTCATGGGCAAAATGTCTGAATGGGGGCGAAGACATTTAGCAATGCGGGCGGCGCAAAGACATCTGGGAAATAACCCCGAAGGTCAGCGCTTACAGGGTAGGGGGAAGAAGAGGAGGCACAACTCGTGGGAGGCAATTCGCAAGGGCGATTCAGGCAGATTGGCCCGATTAGGAGGCAATAGAAACAGACTGACCAAAATTCGGCGCCCAAGTTGAGGCCCGATTGAGCGGAGCTTGACGAAACGATGCTGGAATCGGATTATGTTGCTCCCATCGTACTTCAGGACAACACCCCAAAATTAATTTCGAGCACCCAGGAGAGTATCGAAACAATGTCGAACGAGTATCGCCTCCCAGGGCCCGACATGCGGAAACCGATTCTTTCTGGTGGCCAAGGCTAAAATAGGGTGGAGCATCACAGGAACAGTCAGAGAAGCAGCAGGAGGAGCACCTCGATCCTACAGTGCCATCGGATCATAGGAGTCGAGTAGGAGACCGATTCCAGAATTGATGTATCCCAAAATTTATGTCCTCGTAGAATATACGAAGAAAGCGTACAAAGCTCGTAGATATACGAAGCAATCCTCGCATTTGTCGTAGACCCGACTGAAACATCAATTCTGGGGTGAATCAAGGTTGCAGCCGATCCCCTACTCGAATGAGGGATGGGCGGTCGGCCAGAAACCGAGGCCGAAGCAGGAGGCCCCTGGCCCGAGGCCGTGAGGGCGCAGGCGTGCCTTTGGAGAGCTGCTCATCCTCAGGACGCGGCCTGCCTGCGCCTCCTCGGCCCCTACCTCGCCGAGAAGGAGACCCGGACGTCCGATGCCTTGGCTGTTCCAAGAATCAACGAGGTCCCCAGAACACTGACCTTCCAGGAGGGCCAAAAGACAGCACCAGGATCTCGACATCTAAATTCCCGTCGAGGTCCTGGGCGGTCAGGATCCGTCTACAGGTCTGGAGGGCTACTCTCTGGCACTCTGGAAAGGTCAGGGAAGAAGTCTAATGTTTCATCCCGAGTCGTTCTTTGACGGACTCATGGCCCGGCGAAGGTCCCCAGAGGCCGAAAACGGCGAGCAACCTCCGTCTGGATTTTTGTCAATGAGCTGGAGGTGTGAGCTCTCGGGTCGCTTACCTCGGCTCTCCGGCGGCCGTTGGGGACCATCCGGGCACCCCCGTATTGCTCTCGACGAGGCGCCGCTGATGGACAACACCCCGAGGCTGGAAAACCCGCGAGAACGGACGGACACACCCGAACACCTCCCGAGCCTCAAACCTTTCCATCCTCTGACGCGACGGAGGGAGGCGAGGGGAGACGGAAGGTCGGGCGCGCGCCCGAGGTTGGGAGACAGAGGACCGGCCCCGTGGGCGGGGCGGCGGGTTCACGGAGCGCTGGGCGGAGGGCACCCACCGGGCTACTGCATCAGGCAGGAGCTGGCGCCCTTGACGGCCTTACGGCGGGGCCACGAGTGCGAAGGGGGAGACGAGATGTGAGGACGAAGAGGCCAGCGAGGGACGAGGGATGAAGACGAGGGATGGGCATGGAGAAGAAGGATGAGGACGAGGGATGAGGATGAAAAAAACAAATCTCTGGTGAGCGTTTTTTTATTCGGCGTTTCGACATTGGGCGGCAAGGGGGGGAGGGGGGGGGTCTGGCTCCAGACCTCTGCTTAGTGCGACTGTTTGCAAGAGTGCGTCCATCATGAGGGAGACTCCACCTGCTCGAAACAGGCGCCAAAAACAGCCAAGATCTACTCCATGGAGGGGGGGGAGGGGGGCCTGTGCCGATCAGCAAAACAATGAATCAAAAAAACGATCACCTGACATTTATTTTGCTTCGAGCGATCCCCGCCCGAGAACGCGAGGTGAGACACCCATGGAGCACCCAGAAGCAAGGATTCGACCGTGGACCGGACCTCTCTTGGGGTGCGTTCTGACCAGAATTTCGTAGCGAGTCCAGTCGTGGCGACGAAGACGGGGTATCGGTATACTTTTCTCCTCTGGTCTCTGGGAAGCCTCCGGAGGCCCCCCCAAAAGGCAAACGGGCCGACCATTTCCAGCAACCTTGATCGTACCCTTCACCATCGAAGCTGTGCACGGCGACAACAAGCCGAAAGCCGACCGAACCGACAGCGAAACCGAAACCGACCGAAATCGACAGGCCGCAGGCAGCCTGGAAGGGCGCAGCCACGCGGCGACACGACGCCCGCCCGAACCGCACCGCCCGATTGCAACCCCACGCGAGACGCAGCCGAGCCGGCCGTGCCGTGCGATGGAGCCCTCTGGGCTTGAGGTGGACTCCTCCTCCTCCTGCACCTGCTCCCCCTCCTCCGCCTCCGCCTCCGCCTCCTCCTCCTCCTCCTCCTCCTCCTCCGCCTCCGCCTCCTCCTCCTCCTGATGAAGCCCTGCCCTCCGCCGCCGCCTCTGGAAGGGGCGTGAGACGAGGCCCACCCCGGGCGCCATGGGGCCACGCGCGCCCTCGACGTGGCAGGGAGAGGGGGCTCCTCGGGAGCCGCGGCAGAGCAGCGAGGCGGTGGAGGCCGGGCAGACTGGCGCGGGGGGGCACGCAGATCGGGGACACGTGACCCTCGAGTTGGGAAGACTCGAAGGAGGAGGAGGAGAAGGAGGAGGAGGAGGAGGAAGGGAGCTGGCTGAACGGGGCCGTCGCAAAACTCGCGAGGCCGGATCCGAAATCTGAGACGGGCTCCCGCGCCGCTGCAGACAGCCCACGGGAGCCGGACCGTCAAAGTCCAAGACGGGCGCTTCAGAAAGCGTCGGCAAGCCCGGGTTCCAGCGAACTCGAGTCTTGCGCTTCCCCGAAGGGGGGGAGCTGGAAGCAGTCGGAGCTGGAAGCTACATACGTTGCATCGTTACAACGCCATGGAGCGCATGATTGCGAACACATTGCCGTATGAGTTGCTGCAGGCGTGCATGCCTGCATGCTTGTTGCGCCATCCGTGGCCGCCGAGAGTCGGACCTAGAAGTCATCCGACATCTTCTACAGCCAGGCAGAAGAACTGCGCTATCACAGCTTGAGAGTTCTTTGGTCTCCTCGTGGCCACCCGACCGACGAAGTGTTTCATGCTGGAAGACACGCCGAGGCCACCCGACCGACGAAGCGAGAGTAAGGAATCGAACTCTATACACCGACGCTTTTTCCGGCCCTGCATTGAAATTTGCACTGGAGAGCGGATCCTGGTGTGTACGGGACCCTGGTGTATACATTTGTCGTCGTTTCCCCAGCAAAACGGGGCAACAAATATACACCACACCACCTCGACGTCGTCCCCGACCCTCAAAAAGTCCTGGGATTGAAGAACCGCCCGCCACTGGTCATGTATATGCTCTAGTTTCCGCGGGAGGGGCCCTGCGCGAGGTGGCGCGGCGACCTTGCGCGGCGGCCTGCAGGGACCGCCAGCGCGGCACACGCTGCATCGGAGACGACCCTGCGCGGGCAGCTCGCGCGCCAGTGTCGGAGGCTCCCACTTGAGACTCCCTAAATTTTCGTGATGATGTTGGGGTGTGGGGGGTGATCATGATGGTGGTGATGACGATGGTGATGGTGGTGGAAATGCGGATGATGATGATGATGACGATGATGAGGATGATGATGAGGATGATGATGATCATGATGAGTGCGTCTGTGTGTGATGATTGTGGAATGATGGTGACGATATAGATGATGGTCAGTGCTGGTGGATGCGCAGACGACCCCCCTCTTTTGGGGGGGGCCGGCGCTCACCTGCCTTCGGGCGTCCGCGCCCCGCGCGCCCGCGAGCCGCTCTGGGCCTCCTCTGCGGCCCGCGGCCGCGAGCAGCGCGGCCGCGCGACGACAACAGAAACCCCTCGAGCGCCCTCGAGCGCCACGGCGGGTGGCCTGGCTGGCAGGGACTGGGACGGGCTGGGACGCCATGAGTAGAGCCTGGCGGCGAACCCGCGGGGGGGGCGTGA